TCTCTCTCTCTCTCTCTCTCTCTCTCTCTCTCTCTCTCTCTCTCTCTGTCTTCTACTCCCGTTTGGCTCTACTTGGTGGCATTGGTGGGCCTGTGAATGCTTTTGCGCTTGGTCAAGTAGAGGCAGGTAGTGAGCCATCTCCATGACAAGTATGTCCTCACAGGTTTGGGGAACCTGCTGGCCAGACAGCTGAACAGGAGAGGCTTGAGGGTGCCCAATAAGGGACCCAAGCAGCTGAGGAGCAAGACATCTGACAGGCTGGAGACAGTGATCCTTGATGTCACTAAGACAGAGAGTATGGCAGCTACTCAGCGGGCGAAGGAGCATGTTGGGAACAGAGTTACCATTGAGAGTCCTGTCAGTGTTCTTGGTTTTCTCTCAGTGTCTGAAGGAAAGGCCTGTGTAGTCCTGCAACAATTCCTGGTAGGGGTCAGGGTAGATTTGGAGACACTGCAGACTCTGCCCCTCAACAAGACATCAGTCTGTCCTCTTACCTCTATATTCAGTACTCCCAGATGTGTGTTCTTGAAAGTGAGCCTGTGTATAGTCTTTACAGCTCTGACTCTATGCTCCACTTCTCCCCTTTTTCAATAAAGAAGAAATGTTGGGTTGGGTGGAGTACACTGTCTTTGGAGAAAGTGCTTCCGCTCTGGGCTGAGCTGGACTCCTAATCCCAGTAGATGATTTTTTTCTCCGTCTTCTTCAACAGACTAGAGAAGCCCAGAGATCTGAAGAGCTGCAGTGTTGGACACTCACAGGGTTGGGCTTGGAATGGGACCAGACCACCCTACCAGGTAATGGGAAGAGGAGTCACTGTGTACATTTGGCTTGTGTGAGAATCACAGTAGGGATTCATGGACTAAAGGAACCTCCATGAATTAGGCAGGTGTCTAGGACTCTTTCTCTTCAGTCCTGTGGCTCCTGCAACAGAGTCACAGCCATTTTCCTATACTCTCTGGCATTATCCAGAAATTCCAGGGCTGAATCTAGACCCTGCTGTGTTCTAGAAGACCTTGATCCAACATGAGTATCCATCCCTGTTAGGATTGATAAGGATAGAACTGTAGGAGACCAGATTGGGAAATGACCATAGAATGATTGCTCTAGAGAATTCACCGTTATAGCGACAGAAGATCCAAGAGTACTAATACCTGTATGTGCTGTGGTACATACAGCACAGTATGTACCACAGAACAGTACAGCTCAGTACTACATTTTGCAAGATACAATTAAGAGATAGGATTCTGAGGACCTGTTGGGTGCTAACAGCCGCATGAAGAATATCCTATTAGTTTCTGTAGGAGCACAAAGAGGGACAAGAGTGGAGGCAGGAGGACAAGGAATAGCATCCATAGATCAGACATGATCAGGCACAGGGCAGAAGAAATAGGGCAAATGCAGAACAAACCCAGTGGCAGCTACATCTAAGGAGGGAGAGTGTCTCATCTCCAGATTCACAGTTCACTCAACACTGATAAAGAAGGCCCAGGACTTAATGTAGAGCTATAGATGTAATCTATCTAGTATTGGAGCATTTCCTGATAGAAACACGGTTCTTGAGAGTACAATATCAGTCTGCTATCTTACAGGCTGGAACAGAAAGTGTCAGTTTAGGGAAATGTGACATCATTCCTGAAGGAAGGCACCAGGTTTATTTTGAGCTAGAATCAGAGGGTCGGCTCTTCCTAACCTCTCCTGTAAGTTGTTCTGGGTCCATCTTCAGGTTACCTTAGATTCTCATGATGTTCAAAAGGTCCTGGTTTGTGGTTCCAGAGGGCAAGAATCAGAGATACACAAGGGGAGACTTGGACTGACTTCGGCACCTCTATGATGAAGCAAACATATTCCCACATGAGTCCTGGAAGCAAAGATTATAAGAGAATATACCTGTGTTATTGTACATCAGAGGTGTTTTCTTTGGAAGGGATATGGGTATTGTCAAAGAACATTATATGACTTGTGATCAAAAGCCTGTTAAAGGGCAAAGAAGTAATGCATTAATTATAAGAAATGCAGAGAGGACTGTACGTCAGAAGGGTGGAGTCCTCCATGCCTACACCTGCCTGTGTGAACAGATGCCAGGCTCATTTTGACTCAGAGTCTTCTCTCTCTCTCTCTCTCTCTCTCTCTCTCTCTCTCTCTCTCTCTCTCTTTCTCTGCCTGTCTTCTACTCAACATGTGGCTCTACCTGGTGACACTGGTGGGCCTGTGGACACTCCTGCGCTTGTTCAGGGAGAGGCAGGTGGTTAGCCATCTCCATGACAAGTATGTCTTCATCACGGGCTGTGACTCAGGCTTTGGGAACCTGCTGGCCAGACAGCTGGAAAAGAGAGGCATGAGGGTGCTGGCTGCATGTCTGACGGAGGAGGGAGCCGAGCAGCTGAGGAGCAAGACATCTGAGAGGCTGGAGACAGTGATCCTCGATGTCACCAAGACAGAGACCATTGTGACAGCCACTCAGTGGGTGAAGGAGCGTGTTGGGAATAGAGGTACCATTGAGATTTCTATTTGTGTTGTTGATTTTCTCTCTGTGTGTGAATGGAATTCCTGTGTAGTCCTGTAACAATTCCTGGTGGGGGTCAGGATGGAGTTGGAGTCACTGCAGACTCTGCTCCTCTCCAACACATCAGTATTTCCACTTACCTATAAACTTAATCCTCCAAGCCATGTGTTCTTAATAAGCTGGTTCCTGGGGAAGATTTTAAGTTCAAATTATTCTCTGTGTTTTTTTGTCTTTGTATGTAGAAAAACTGGATTGTTGTTCGCTGAGTCCTACGTTAGAGACAGTGAGGAGGAAGGAGAGCCCTGTGTTCCTGGGTCTTGGTCTCTATGTGAAGGTTATGGGCCAGAGTGCATCTGCTTTCTCAGTTCTGCAACGTGTTCTTATGCACTACCTGTGCACCTTCACTGGGAGAGCCAAAATCATTGCCATGCTTAGTCCCAAAGTCAAGGAATGCCTTAGGACATAAAAAGATAGGAAGTCACTGCGCGCACACACACACACACACACACACACACACACACAGCCTTTCCATTCTTTCTCCATTTCTCTCTCTTTTCAGTATTTGTTTTGTTTTTGTAAAGGATAAATTTATAAAGATTTAAAGTAAAAGCACTTACTGTTCGAAACTCTAGACATGTCAAACTACTATTCAATGAATAAAAACCAGTTAACCCTTGACCTGTATGATTAATGTATATGCATTCTTTCCACTTCAGCAAGGTGAGCAATATTACCATTTATAGAACATTTTTTACAATAATAATATGCAATGAATTAATATAACTTGACCCTTAACCAAACCTTATTACACTTAGCAGGCATTGGCGTTCTGTATTGTTTGATCCTTTTGTTATCTTCTGACTCAAGTTTTTGAGGCAGGTTTCTAGATTTGGAGCTCATGACCATCTGATGAACCTGTTCCTCAGCTCCTTCCTGTTGGCATCGCCAGAAAGTGCCACCACGCTCAGCTTGTTTTATTGTCCTAAGAACTGTCTCGTGATACTTCTAATCTATTCTGAGTCTTCAAGCATGTGTATTTTGGGATCCTAGATTTAAAATATCTGGTGTGCATATTTTTATTAAAATTTTTCATGCAAACATTTAGATCATATTTTCCCTTTTCCCAACTCCTCACAGATCCTCCTCATGTTCCAGTCACACAATTCATATTCTTTATGTCTCTCCTCTAAGTCTGAAAAACAAAAACAAAATAAAAACCCCTAAGGAAAAGTAACATAAATAAATAAAAAAAACAATAACAAAAAACAAACAACAAGAAATGAGCATAAAAGCCAGCACAAAACAAGATGAAAAAAAATGCAGGCTCCCCTTTCCTCCCAAAATTTCACAGAGTTTATTTTATTGAGACACGGGCCCTCTCAGGCATAAGGCTCGGTGAGTGCCTCTTTAATAAGTGTGTTATATTTTGCTTCATACCCTGATAGCTCTCAAATAACTGAGACTGGACTAAGTTATTTATTTAACATGCTTAAAGGGCAGAATTACTGACTAGTATTATTCTATTTCATTCTTCTAACCTAATTTATGAGCTCCAAGCCTAAATGACAGAGATACTGCACTTTAGACATTCTCTGCTCCAGGTGTTTTCTTATGGTGTCTCCTAGACTCTCTGCAGGTGGCTCCTGCATACTTCCTCTTCAGCCATGTTCTCTCCCCTGCTCAGTCATTGTTTTTGAGATCTCTTTATTGACACTAGAGGGAACAATTGGAAAGCTGTTGTTTACACAAGATCACACCCGGATATTCTCTGAATAAGGATTGTAACCAGATGTAGTGGACACAGAAATCAGCTTTTGACTCTTCGCACAGTGTACAATAAAATGCCTCAAAGATACCATTCACAATACAGTGCAGAAAAAGGTTCTTGCCTTGGACAGCAATTATTAGTCAAAATGGCTTCTGCTTAGAGGTTAGACCATGTGTCTACTTTCCCTTCTCAGTGCTGGGTCACTGTTTCCTTTTGACTGTGCAGATGTTACCTGTACTGCCACAGTCTCTGTGAGTTCATGTGAGCAGCAGGCCTGGTGTGTCTGGAAGACAGTTTCCTTGGAGTCACCCATCATGTCTGGCTCTTAAAATGTTTCTGCCTCCCCATCCTCATAGATCTCTGATCATGGAAGGGAGAGGCATGATGAAGACTTCCCGTTTAGGACGGAGTGTGCCAGAATCTCTCACTCTCTGAACACTGGCCACTTATGTGTTCTGTGTTAATTCTTGTTTATCACCAGGCACATTCTCCTGGACTGAGATTGATTAAATCACTGGACTTTGAATTCACTAACAGTATGCATTAATTGTCTTTTTACTGTGTGTTCCCTTAGAATAATAATAGTTTTCCCATAGAACCATCTAGTCTCAGGTTCTGGGCCACTCTAGTAGTAAGCACACCTTCAATCTAATGAAAAGTGTTTAGTTACACCCATGACATTGGTACCTTTATTGCACCATATACCTTAAAGTCAGGTCACTGTGGAAGGTCATAGGGCTTGAGGTTGGGTAATAGTAATGATTGCCTTTCTCTTCTGGGAATGTCCAGTGTATCTTCTGGCATCTTGAATGCTAATCAGTAGCAGTGAAGGTTTTAGTTGGGCACCATCTTGCCTTCTCTCAGTTGGATGACATCAGACAGTGTGGACTTTAGCTGTTGACTTACTTAGGATTTTACTGTTGTGAACAGACACCATGACCAAGACAACACTCAGAAGGACAATATTTAATTGAGATTGGCTTAAAAGTTCAGACATTCAGTCCATTATCATCAAGGTGGAAGCATGGCAGTATCCAGGCAGGCATGGTCTAGGAGGAGCTGAGAGTTCTACATCTTGTTCTGAAGGCCACTAGGAGAAGCCTGTCTTCCAGGAAGCTAAGATGAGGGTATTCAAGCCTATTCCCACAGTGTCACACTTCCTACAACAAGGCCACACTAACTGCAGCAAGGACACATCCCCTAATAGTGCCACTCTCTGGGTCAAATCTATTCAAAGCACTGCATTATCCTCCCTGACCTCCATAGGCTTGATCAAACTCATGAGTCTGTGGGGACCATACCTCAACATATCATAATGCTAAATACGTCTAATCCAACTTCAAAAGTCATACTTGTATGTAGAAGTCTCAATGCTATTAAAAGTCCATAGTTCAAAGTGTCTTCTGTGATTCATGCTCTCTCTTAACTGTAGATCTAGAAGCTATACAGAAAAACAGCCAGGCTAATTTCAAACTGTGCATCTCTGCATCCGATATTAAAGCCATCTTCAGATCTCCAAATCCTTCCTCATTTTTGTTGACTGGATCAAACTTCTTTCTCATTGGCTGGTTCTACTCCCTGTTAACAGGTTTCCTCAGCAGATATCCTATGATTTTGGCATTTTGGACATCTTTTGGTCCCCAAGGTAACTTCAACATTAAACCTCTTTTTTCCAGTGTCGCAGATCCACTCATGATCTTCTGGGCCCTTCTGAAGGGCTTGAGTCACATCTGAAGCTGTGCCCTCTATAGAATTCTAGACTCTGGTTGACTCAACTCAACTGCTTCTGCTGTTCTTGGTGATCATCCTATGGTACTTGCATCTCTAATACACTGTGTTTTTCTGCTGCAACAAGGTTTGACCAATATCTTCTCATATGCTCTCATCATTATGCCATTATGCCATCATAACCTGTTCGCTCCTGTGTCATCAACTACAATTGAGGCTGTACATTCACTGATGGCGTTCCTTAGCCTCTTACAGTGCCAAGTATGAGTGATTCTCCATGAGCCCTTTTTACCTTCTAAACCATTACCACCTGGGTGAATCTTACACATTACCAAGTCCAGCTGTAGCACAAAGTACAACCTTGGCTTTCTCTGGAACATAACTTTTTTTGTGCTCTCAGAAAATACTTGCCATAACATTTTACCTCAATGATAGCGGTCTCTTCATAATTATCACTAATTTTATAGCTCAAACTAACCATTATCAATTGTCCCAGTAGTCCATTCTATTCTTGACTCTATAGCCAGAAGCAGATGGTCCAAGCTACAGAGTTCTGCTGATTACTAGACCTGAAACATGGTCTTCTAATTCTACCAGTCTTCTAATTTTACCAGCTTTCTGTGTTCCAGATCCCTCACTTCCTAACCTTGGCTGTCTTTAATGTTGGGATTTAAGCTTTTCTTCACCTAGAACTTGCTCTATCCCTGGGTGGCCATGAACTAAAAAATCTGCTTGACAAAGTCTTCAATGACAAAAGGCATGTACTGCCTTGACTGGTCCTAAGCTTTTAATAGATACTTTTTCTCAAGATCCAGATCAAAAGCCCTTGTCTTTCATTTCTGGATTGTAGTTTAATCCAGATTTAAAATCCAAGTGAAAACAATAGCCAAGTACTGATAACACCTAATATGATATAACTATTCCTTGTTCAATGGCAAACACATTAACAGTATGCTTAGCTGGGTGGCATCTTGCCACAGAGTCACCACTTCCTTAATCTGTTCATCTCCTTGAATACAGAATTCCCCTCATTTCACTTCCTGGTGTCCCTTTATTATTTGCACCATACATTCTATATTTTTTCTATGCTTGTATTTTTGCCAAAAATGCTCATCATGAGACTTAACCAGGGAACAAAGTCTCTCTTGGGCTTTTTTGAGACTTTCTTTGTCAATGAAATTAATATAAATCTTACCTTAGCCTCAGGTAGCCTCTTCAGGCAAGGGTAAAAAAACAGCCACATTCTACACCAAAATATAACAAAAGCAGTCACTCAGTGACATATTAAAGTCCTTCTCCTCTGAAACACCTACAGCTATACTTCCACAGTTCAAATAATCCTCAGCAACAAATTCTTCCATATTCTTACAAAGATAGGCTATTAATCATTAATCCCCACTTAAGCATTCTACTGCTTTCTAAATCCAATGTCCTAAGATCCACATTCTTCCAAATAACAGCATGGTCAGCCTTATCATAGCAATACCACAGTCCTGGTACCAACTTCTGTCTTAGTTAGGGTTACTGCTATGGACAGACACCATGACCCAGGTAACTCTTAGAAGGAAAACATTTTATTGGGGCTGGCTTACAGGGTCAGATGTTCAGTCTATTATGAAGACTGGATCGTAGCAGCATTTAGGCAGGCAGGGTATTAGATGAGCTCAGAGTTCTACATCTTGTTTAGAAGGCAAACAGGAGGAGACTGACTTTCACAGATCTAGGATGAATATCTAAAAGCCCATGCCCACAGTGATACTCTACTTCCAACAAGGTCATACCTTCTATTAGTGCCAATATCTGAGGTAGTGTAGACAAACCAGCACAGCTAAATAGCCTTACCATCAGGTTTAGAGAGCAGCAAGTAGCCTTGATTGAAGCCTGTAATGGGAATTTGGAGGCTGTGGTGGTTTGAGTAATCCTTGCCCAGGGAGTGGCACTATTTGGGGTCTGGCCCTGATGGAGTAGGTGTGCCACTGTGGCATTGAGATTTAATAACCTCATCCCAGCTGCCTGGAAGCCATTCTTCACTGAGGTGCCTTCTGAAGAAGAGATGGGATTCTCAGCTCCTCCAGCCACATGTCTGACTGCATACTGCCAGACTTCTACCTTGATGATAATGGAGTGGTTGTCTGAACTTGTAGAGAGCCCCAGTTAAATATTGTCTAAGAGTTGGTTTGGTCATGGTATCTGTTCACAACAGTAAAACTCCAACTAAGTGAGACGGGGTGTTCGATGGGGTTTTTAAAGGAACAAAATGTAACCCATTCCTGCCAGTGAAAGTTTTACTTGTTGGCATTGGATTTCTACTTGGGGAGTCATGTCTACCATCATATGGATACCCTCGTGAAATTCCTTCGTATATGTATTTTAGGAAGCTTCTACAGAAATAGTTTTCCATATGGTTTTTCAAAAACTGAACAAAAACAAACTCCAGTACTGATTATGTGTCTATAGATGCACAAGATATGCTTTTGAGCCAAGGTTGCAGGTGACTTACTTGAGCCAAGGTTTTAACATCAACAAATGCTGATCTTAATCTCAATCAACTAGTCTCCCATTCGCCCTGCACAGAAATTAAAGATGGAGATATGGTGTTTAGCTATAAGCCTTTCAGAATGGTTCCTTGATGATCCATGACTTAAAAGCCAAAGGGATAAGTGAGGGTCACCTGTAGGTGAGTTGTAAATAGAGCACCATGTGTTCAGGTTGGCAGTGGAAAATCTATCCTGTTGGATAATAGCAAAGATGGTCAACTCTGCTATATTTTCTTTGGGTGTGTTAGGTAGAGTTTTTACTGTTGTTGCAACAAAGCATCATGAACAAAAAGCAAGTTGTTCTAGGAAAGGGTTTATTTAGGTTACACTACTATATCATTGAACATCACAAACCGAACTCAGGACAGGAACTCAAATTGTGAAGGAACCTGGATGCAGGAGCTTATGCAGAAGGCATGGATGGGTGCTGCTTACAGGCTTGATCCCATGGAATGCACAGCCTGCTTTCTTACAGAACCCAGGACCAGCAGCCCAGGTATGACATCATGAACAATGGGCTGTGCCCTAGTTGGACCTCCCTAGTTGTTCACTAATTTAGAAAATGCCTTACATCTGGATCTTATGGAGGCATTTCCTCAACTAAGTCACCATCCTCTGTGTTGACTCTTAACTTGTGTCAAGTTTTCACGAATCCAGGCAGTATATTGGGTTTTGTAAGCATCTGAGGAGTGTTGATCAATTGATGTTGATCAATGTTGAGAATTGATTATTATTAATTTTAAGGTTTGCTTTAGTAGAGCTGAAAAGCACAGGTCTGTTTTCCATATCTCCCACAATCAAGTTTCCATTTGTTTGTTTCCCAACCACATTTCCTCCAGAGATTAATTTTGTCTTTTTTTCTTTTCTCATTTGTGTTTTCCTCTGTTCTTTCTCTTCTTCTTTATGACTGTCCTCTCTTATTATTATAATAAGGAATTAAAATGGAAACTAGTTCTGCCTCATTACTACCTTTCTTGGCCATTTGAAAGACACAGTGTACAATGTGCTTAGAGCAATGTGAAGATACAAGTGTCTTCATCAGAATTTTATCTCTATGAAGAAATGCCATGATTGTGGTAACTGTTATAGATGAAACATTGCATTTGGGCTTGCATACAGTTAAAGCTTTTGACTGTTTTCATCATTTCATGAAGTCTGGTAGGTTCTATGTAGTCAGGTTCCACAGAAGGAGCTACATCTATACCCACAGGGAGCAGGAACAGCAAGACTCTGGGATAGCTCATTTCCAGTGAATCATGTAATCCAACGTGGCCACACCCACTCCAACAGGGCCACACCTAATGCCTCTCAAGCATTGCCATTTTCTCAGAAAGAAGCATATATATATATATATATATATATATATATATATATATATATATATATATATATAAATAAATAATCGGTGGATGCTATTTTAATTCTAACAACCGCTCAAAGCAAAAGAATAAAATCTCTGCAAGGATGGCGTGAACTTGTAAGTCACAAATGTACTTTTATAGTCTCCAGACTAACAAAGGTGCACCATGTTTTCACTATCTGTTCTTAAACTTAGTAAGGGAGAAGGGACTCCTTGCAGATTCCCAGGTAGAGAAATGGGCCACAAAGTCTTAAAAGATGAAGGTATCCATGCTGTGAGCCAGCACTGTTCTGCGGGTGTTCCCCAGCTGTGTGGATACTCTGCTCTTATTCATTGATTCCTATTGTCCAGTAAACATGGTCACAGTGGTCTTACTGTGTTAATCATGCATTTTATCCCGAATTAAACCTGTGTTGTGTGACTGTCTCTTTCCACTATTTGTAGGACTCTGGGGCCTGGTCAACAATGCTGGTATCTCCATCCCCTCGGGTCCTAATGAGTGGATGAAGAAACAGGACTTTGCAACTGTACTGGATGTGAACCTGTTGGGCATGATCGAGGTGACACTGAGCATGCTGCCCTTAGTGAGGATGGCAAGGGGCCGAGTGGTCAATGTCTCCAGCATCATGGGCCGAGTGTCTTTTGGTGGTGGCGGTTACTGCATCTCCAAGTATGGTGTAGAGGCCTTCTCAGACTCCCTCAGGTACCATACAGGGAAGTGGTTCCCCCAAGGGAGATTTGGGATGGTTTTTAATTAACCATACTCTTTAAGTCTCCATCATGGAGAACACACTCAGGTTCTAGGACTTGCACACCTTTACCTCACTGAAACATTTACTGGGCATCACATTTCCATGTCTCTACAAGAGGCTATGACTGAGACATGAGTTGAGTTCATTTTGTCCTGTTCCAGAGGAGGAAGGGCACTTGGGGACAATACTGGTATATAATTGGAAATGTGAAGTTTTTTTTGTCAAGAATCTAGACCCCTGACCTCTATATGCTAAGCATGTTTTTGAATTGGACTGAATATACTTTAAATTGCACATAGTTATCAGGCCACATTTGGGGTCCACAATAAATACATATCAGCATAACTTATGTGCTTCTATCATGATGTAAAACTATGGCAACTAAGAGAATGAGAGAGGAGGTCAAAAAAGTACTGGGAGCTTCCTGTGTGGTTGCCATGGCCAGTCAGCTGTGTTAACCATGCAAGCCATAACCTTTGTTGGGGGTCCTGTAGCAGGATTAGACTACATTAGAGTAAACAGGAGATCCTGGGACCTGGAAGCTAGGTGTGTAGGTGCATTCATTTTGGACAATGTAATGGCCAGATATGGAAGGAAGGTGGTCACCATGTGGGCAATGGTAGACTTATGGAAAACTGGAGAGTGCAGAACTATTTATTTCGTATTGTTGACAATACTCTCCTTCCAAGGGATGGAACAAAGCCAGCCATTTGGGACAGGGAACAGGGAGCCTGCCAATGTGAGGGAGTCGGGTGCAGGAGGTTTCTCTTGGAGACACCTGCAGGAAGAAAGTGAGGGATGTCCTGAGGACTTCCTAAAACAGATGTGGGATAGATGGAGACTTCTCAGTGAGGTGGGGGTGACTAGGAGAAGGACTATGATTCTTTGCATCTGCACTACTGGAGAAAGGACTTAGAGAGTACCATAGACCAGAATGACTAATTTTAGGACACTGAGCTACATACAAAATATACTTAGTGTGACATCCCAAAGCAGAGAGGCAATACCCTTATCACAAGATCCTTTGCCATTTCCTGCACATCCCAGATCCAAAGTGTCTAAACTTTTCTCACCACAGGCTATTGTTGGCATGATACTGTACTCTTAATAAAGTGTTCTCATTGAAAGACCTCTGAAGTCCTTGACATCTGTCTTTCTTGCAGGAGGGAACTCTCCTACTTTGGGGTGAAGGTGGCTATTATAGAGCCAGGCTTCTTCCTGACTCCTATGAGCAATAGTGCCAGATTATGTTCAAACATCCAGATGCTGTGGGATCAGACCAACTCAGAAATCAGAGAAATCTATGGCAAGAACTACCTGGCAACCTGTAAGTGAGCTCTGAGGACCCAAGCCAAGCTCAGTACTGAACACTTAATCCAATGCTATTTTTAGCAGTTCCAATATCATGCTCTTTTTCTCAAAGAACAGGAATTTAGACCCATTTCCTTGAGTTGGTGGGCTGTGTATCAGGCCAGAAAGAGTGTTCTTGTCTTTCAGAACATGCTGCTCTGTTTCTCTTGAGCCTCTTATGATCATGGCGCTGTAAGTGAATTCAGGGATGGGAGGCCATATAAGACCAGGACTTTCCATGAGCTGAGATACAGATGACTGTGCTCAATTCTTCCTTGAAGATTGTTTGTGGTCCATCTGAGGAACTGGGACAGGCTATGCTTGGGTTTCAAGGAATGGACTCCTTGACGTATAGAATGGAAGTTCTCATGTATATTGTGTTCAGACAGGAGTGGTGGGAGCTGAATGACCACCTTAATCTTTCCTCATTCTGCATAGATCTGAAAATGCTAACCAGATTGGACCAGAGGTGCAACAAGGACCTGTCTTTGGTGACTGACTGCATGGAGCATGCTCTGACTGCCTGTCACCCTCGCACCCGATACTCTGCTGGGTGGGATGCCAAGCTCTTCTATCTCCCCTTGAGCTACCTGCCCACCTCTCTTGTGGATGTTCTTCTCTACCGGACTTCTCTAAAGCCTGAGAAAGCTCTCTGAAGTCTTTACCTATGTGCATAGCTGGGGAGATGGAGACAGTATAAGGGAGAGGATCCTTAGGAGAAATTAGGAAGGTTGAAGCAGGAAGGTCATTGCTATGGGGTTCTTAGTCCATACTCTTCATCTTATTGATTTTTCTGTGATAATACTGAAGACTGATGGTGACCAAAGAAATAGCCAAAGAATTGTCCCAAAGGATTCTGGTAGAAAAGAGCTGGCTATTGCATAGGCTCTGGGCATCATGTCCTACCATGAAGATCCACACAAATGAGGAGGTTGGGACCAATTTGTGCCAAGCACTGCCCTATATCCTTCTCTGCAGGAAATGCACATGCCCTAGCTAGTTTCCACTCCTATACAACATGGTGGTGTCCCTGCTCTGAAGCCACCTAAGACCATGGTGTTGTGTCTGAGGGATGTCACTAATAATGCCAGCACTCATGCCCTTGAGTGAGGTAGACAGGCCCTGGGTGGTTGTAACTGTCCCTAGTGATGAGAATCCAGCAGAGGAAGGAGGCACTAATTTTTCTTTTTTTTTTGGACTCTTCTTAATTTTAGAGCAAATATGAGGTGATCTCCTGTACCCTGCCATTAAAAAATGGCTTTATCATTTAGTGAAGTTTGGATAACAGAGAGAAGGGGATTGTCCTGAGTAGGGTTAGTCCAGGCCAGCAAGCTTTCTTTGACTGTCTCATCCCTTCAAGCCACTGAGGTGGGAACAACTGTTCTCCATGCAAAACTTAACAACAACACATAAGACAGAAGACTGCATGTAAGTCCATGAACAGAATTTACCTGTAGGCCTCAGCCTCACCACTCAATCCCTGAAGACACACTAAGTGAGAATATCTCACTGCAGACCCACTAAGTGACCATTTCTTCCTACAGACTCACTAAGCAATCATCCCTCCCTGAAGACTCACTAAGTGACCATGTATAAAGTATCCTTCTCAACACTGGTCTTTCAAATATGTTGAGACAACATATTTGCAAAAGAGCAAGGGTCTTGAGCTTGCTGTGGTCTCTGAGACCTGGCTCTGCCTGCTGCTAGGTTGGTGAATCTCAAGAGTAGTCTGAGCAGGGAAGCATACATGGAGGAGACAGAGAATCCTGGGTTCAGTACAGACTTGCCCTGGGGGGGGAGGAGCTTCCCTAGATGCCTGACTCCTGACAGTAGAAGTGTGGAGGCCTAGTAGTCACAGGAAAAATTTGTAAATAAACAACAATTTCTGGATTAATGAAAATAGAAAGTCTTCAACCCTATCATGTGCCTCATCATTCATTTTACTTATGTTATTTTGAAAGCTTTGTTTTCAGCCCTTGAGTGTATGTGTGTGTACCTGTACCTTACATGTGTGGGAGAATCCTCAGAGGTGAGAAGGAAGATGAGGCCCAGTGCTTATAATAAGCTTTCAGCCATATAATGTGGGTGTCAGGAAAAGAATTTGGGTTCTACAGAAGAGCAGGAAGCCTTCATAATGGCTGACTCATTTCTCCAAAACATGTATTTATATTAAATTTATTTTATTTTATTTTAAGATGTCTCACTACATGGCAGGTTTCCCATGACCTTGTTATGTCTAGCCTTACTGTCTTCATCATTATATAATTTACAGTGTTGTAATCAAACAGCATCTCTGCAGGTTGTAGCCTATTAGGACAACTGTTCAGGAAGCTAAAACTATCTCAGTCCTCTCTGGAGCATCAAACTGGCTCCACAGGGGAAGGAGCTGCACCCAGGACAGATATACAGCTCTAAGCATGGGTAGAGGCTCAAGAGCATGATAATGAGACAGAACAATTTGTATTTAGTAGGAAGTGTCTTGTAAGGTGATCCCAGGCTGCCTACAACATTTCTGGAGGAGACTCCTTTCCTCCTCTCCCAGGTTTCTTTGTTGGGAAGCCAGTGTTCTCAGAGGAACAGGAGGGATTTGGCTGCCACAAGAGACTGTCTCACTAAACCCTGCATGAGGACTGCACTGTATCCAATCAAGTCTCATGCCTCCAATCCTAAATTTTCCGTCATTAGAACCCTTTTATTTCTGGTTCCCAGTTAAGATAATGTAGGGTCAGCATATGGTCAAGTCTAGAAACAGGCTTGACAATGGGCCAGTTTCCACCCTTTCAGCACTCACTCGAGGTTCCACCCCTCCACTTTTTGCATGAAGAAGAAAAGGTGAGTTGGGTGGGGAACACTATCTTTTGGAAGAAAGTGCTTCCCCACTTGGCTGAACTGTTCCCAGTAGATGGTTCTGTTCCCATCTACCTCAGCAGCCCAGAGCAGCCCAGACATCAGTAGACCTGCAGTGTTGAACACTCACATGGTCTGGCCTAGAGTGGGATGATCCCACCCTACCCAGAACAGAGAAGAGGAGCAGCTGGACAATATCATTTGGCATGTGGGAGAATCTCAGTAGGGATGGAAGGACTGAGGGAACCTCCATGAATCAGGAAGGTGTCTTTGAGGCTTTCTCTTCAGCCCTGTGTCTCCTGCAACAAAGTCACATCCACTTTCCTATTCTCTGACTTTACCCAGAAATTTCAGGGCCGGATTTCAGACACTGCTGTATTCCAGAAGACCTTGATCCAACAAGAGTGCCCATCACTGTCAGGGTTGATATGGAAAGGAGTGTAGGAGAGAGGATTGGGAAATTGATCATAGAAGGATGGCTCTAGACAACTAAACGTTGAAGGGATACAAGATCAAAGAGCAGCAATATCTGCATGTACTTAGGTCAAAAAAGTTCAGTACTACCTTTTGCAAGATGCAATTCAGAGGTAGGATTCTGAGGACTTGTTGGGTGCTAACAGCTACAAGAAGAATGTCCTATTAGCTTCTGCAGAAGCAGGAGGAGAGACAGGAGTAGAGGCAGGAGGATAAGGAATAGCAGCCATACACCATACAGGATCAGGCACAGGAGAGAAGGAAGAGCAGGGCAAATGCAGAGCAGATCCAGGAGCAACTTCACCCTTGGAGGGAGAGTGGCCCAGCCCCAAATTCACAGTTCAATCATCACAGATAAAGAAGATCCAGGCCTTAAGGCAGAGGTGTAATCTATCCTATATTAGGGCACTATCTGATAGAACCATGGTTCTTGAGAGCACAAGGCCAGTCTGATTCCTTACACTTTGGAACAGAAAGTTGTGGAAGTGTCAGATAAGGGAACCATGACAACATTTCTGAAGGAAGGCACCAGGTTTATTTTGGGCTAAACTCAGAGAGTCAGTCAGTCATTCCTCAGACCAGCATCCATATGCAAAGTTCCACACACTACTCCTAAGGTTCTGAGCAAGGTTTTCTGGGAAATTAAGTAAGAAATCCTGGCTCAGGTGAGACAGGGACATTCATGGAGATCACAACTCAAGAAATCTATGCTCATGTCTGCATGAATCCAGGCAGCCAGAAGTATCACTTGACAGGTTAAAATCATTTCTTTCCCTACATCATCTCTGTGAGTCGTGATGTGTCTGGGGTCCCAGCCCCATCACCTCTTGTTTCTTTGAGGTCAGCCTTCAATGTTTGGGGTGAGCCCTTCTATCTTCCAGGAGCTGCTGTATTAGGAGGGCTCCAGCTCTCCCTGTCCTCTCCTGTAGTTGTCCTGAGTCCAAGTGCAGGTCACCAATAGATTGTCATTATGTACACAAAACCCTGGCTTGTGGGTTCAGAGTGCAAGATGGAGAGACACAAGGAGACCCTTGGACTGACCACAGTGCCTGTGTAATGAAGCAAACATATTTCCACATGAGTCCAGGAATCAAAGATCATAAAGGAATAGACCTGTGTTATTGAATATCAGAAGTGTTTTCTTTCGCAGGGATATAGCTAAAGTCAAAGAATATTGTGTCTTGTGATTGAAAGCCTATTAAAGGGCAGAGAAGTCAGGCATCAATAGTTATAAGAAATTCAGAGAACTGCATGTCAGAAGGGTGAATTCCTGATTGCCTACACCTGCCTGTGTGAGAAGATGCCAAGCTCATTTTGACTCAGAGTATCTTTCTCTCTGTCAGTCTTCTCACCATGTGGCTCTACCTTGTGGCACTGGTGGGTCCATGGATGCTTCTGCACTTATTTAGGGAGAGGCAGGTTGTTAGCCATCTCCAAGAGAGTAAGTCTTCATCACGGGCTGTGAATATGGATTTGGGAACCTGCTGGCCAGACAGCTGGACAAGAGAGGCATGAGGGTGCTAGCTGCATGTCTGAGGGAGAAGGGAGCCAAGCAGCTGAGGGTCAAGATACCTGATAGGCTGGAGACAGTGATCCTTGGTGTCACCAAGACAGAGAGTATTGGGCAGCCACTCAGTAGTTGGAAACAGAGGTACCATTGAGATTCCTGTCTGTGTTGTTGATTTTCTCTCTGTGTGTAGGGAAGGTCTCTAACGTCCTGTAACAGTTCCTGGTGGGAGTCAGGGTAGAATTGGAGTCATTACAGACTTTGCGACTCTCCAGCACATCAGTCTTTCCTCTTATCTCTAAATTTTGTCTTCCAAGATTACCCAGGACTAATTGTTACAAATAGCTGCTTGCCATAGGTTAGACCATATGTCCACCCTCCCTCCTCAGTGCTGGATCATTGTCTCCTTGAGACTGTGAAGTTATTGCATGTGCTGCCAAAGTCTCTGTGAGTTCATGTGAGCAGCAGTCCTATTGCGTTTGGAAGTCAGTTTCCTTGGAGTCACCCATCGCCAATGGCCCTTAAAAGGTTTCTGCCTCCCCATCCCCATAGATATCTTATCCTTGAGAGGAAAGGCATGAGGAGTGCCTTTTAGGACTGAGTGTGCCAGAGTATCTCAAACTATGCACATTGGCCACTTGTGTGTTTCTGTGTTAATTCTTGTCTACTGCAAGGCACATTTTTCTGGATGGAGATTGATCAATTCACTGGACTTTGAGTGTTGCTAGTAATATACATAAAGAGTTTTGCTACTGTATGTGCTCTTAGAAAAATAATTGTATTTATTTTGTCCGTAGAACCATGATTTATCTAGTCTCAGGTTCTTTG